AGGCCGAAGACTGTCGGGTAAGCCGAAGCAGTGTCCGACCGATTGCAAACTCTAAACAGAGCCCGATCTCCTGCGAGTGCTCTGCATGTTACACCGGAGTGTACCGCCCGTAGCACAGCCCGGCCGTGGAGCCCCGTGCAGTGCGCTTCCTATAACGGGAGATTCGCGCCCCGAGATGACCCGAGCGAGAGGGAGAGGGGAGCAGTGGGGTCTTGGTGTTGCAGAGCGAAAAGAGGGGAGGGGGGCGGTAAGCGCTGCTCGGCTCCTTCCAATCCAATATGGCCGCTCGTTCTCCGCTGCTGCCATTTGTCACGTGTTTGGAAACCCGCGGCGGCCTGGAAACCGAACCTGAATAAGGAGTACGCAGCTGCAGGTGTGGGTGCGCTGGAGTGGCCCGGGGGGAAGGCCAAGTTCAGCAGGGCGTCGTTTGTTGTGCGTCGGGAGATGTTGCGTCACCGGCATCCTGCTATGCTGCTCCGCCTGCGAGTTTGCGCGTTGCACGTTTTTTTTTTTCGTTCACCCGCGTGGGCTGCCGGTGGAGACTCCCTGCAAAGTGTGAGGAGTAGGGGACATTGAATGTGGGAAACTTCCCAGCATGAGGTCTGCTTCTTAGGGCCCTGCAGGGCGCATTGCTCCTTTGCGCCGGCTACCGGAACCTGGACTCGCTGCTGCTCGCCAGCTCGCCAGTCCATGGCACGCCACGCCACGCGTGCCCGGCGTGCTCCGGGCCGCGTCCAGCGTGCAGGTCACGCCTTGCACTTTCACGCGCGCTGGCCGGCTTTGGCGGGCGGAGGTGTTTCGCCAACAACCGTACAAGGCCGCGTTCCCAACTTTGAACTTGGCTTGGCGCCGCCACCGACGCTGCGGACTCCACGGCTTCCCAGTGCCGCTCTCGGAGGGTATATGGCGGAGGGTAAGCGCGTTTTATAATCAAAAGATTTAGATTCAGTGCTGTAATTTTTGGCGTTTTCCTCTGTTGTTGTTTTGCGCTCCGGAGAGGAAAGTAATGTATTGCCGCCTCGCCCATTTGGCTCCTTCCGGAAGGGCTTTAGAGCCTCGCAAGGTCACGGCCCACCGTGTGGCGTGGCGGCGCGTAGCGGGGCCTAAAGCGCCACTCATTACAGCCCTTATCGCGCACGCAACGCAGTGGGGTGGTGTGGTGACGTCACACAGGACGTCACGGGGCCGTCACGCGCGGGCTGGGTGGCGCCGTGACGTCGTCACCCCCACCCTATGCAGAGCTCATAGCGCCTCCCCCATACAGTGGAGCCCATACTTTCAAACCGAGTGGTGGACCACTTGAACATTGCATGTACACACTCAGAAATATTCCCAAAATATTTCAAGATATTAAATAAAAATCCAGATATCCGAAAATTATTTCAGACTACACAAATAAAGTGTTCAACTGCCGTGCACGTGCAACTGCTCAACACTATGTTGCACTGTTCAAGTGTTTGACAGGATACTTGATACTTCAAAGTGTTCAATAGTAAATTTGAACACTTTAATGTGGCCAAAGCGAGATCCAAAGCTTCATGGCCAACCCCTGGCGATGAACACTTTAATTGTTCAACTTTACTGTTATACACTTTATAGTATTCAACTTTACTGTTAAACACTTAATAGTAAATATCCAGTCAAACACAACATAGTGTTGAACACTTGCATGTGCACGCCAGTTGAACACTGTATTTATCAGTGTAATTCCAGATTCGAAAAGTATCGTAGATATTCCATAGTACATCAAAACATTGAGTGGTCCACCCCTCATATCAAATCCACTAACGTGTGGGGACGCTGTGTTTGCGTGTCTCGAGACTGGACGTGTCGCTCCGAGCTCTAAGAGCCGCGCACTTGTGCCCCTCCCTGACCGTCCCTGACCGGAAGTGGCCCCGGCGGGCCCCGGTGATATCGCTGCGTCTTTCCCAGAAAAGGCTCCCGGCGCGAGGCGAGGCGCGGGGTGGGGCTCGTCCGGTCTCGTGCTGTACTGTAACGGCCCGGCGGCAAAGAAAGAAGGGGTTATAGTACTCGCCGTTTTCTTCCTACCGAAAACAATTACTGTGTATAAGAGTTGGTTTGCCAGCCAGAGAGGCGCAGGGTATGGTCGCAGCAGCGGTGCACGAGCCCCGCCTTTCTCGCAGGTGGTCCCGGCAGGTCCATCCCGCACGGCGGCGCGTTGGGTGCTCCTTTGTTCGTCATTATCTCTCTCCTAAACGCACATATTTCTATTTACCGTCTGGGAGTGAGGGCTTGTTTTTTGGTGGAGGTGAGGGGAAGGGTAGCGGGTAGGTCGGCTGTAGTCGGCTGGTAGCGGAGGGCGACGACGCCAGCTGCTATCGCGAGTACCCATCAGCTTCGGCAGCAACCCGTAGCAGCCAGCGGCCGGCAGTGTCGGGGGGAAGGAGGAAGGAGCCTGGCTGTGTGTTGTATTGACGATTTGGCCTAAGCGGAAGAAGGAGAAGGAGAAGAAGAAGAAGAAAGAAGAGGAAGAAGAAGAAGAAGAAGAAGAAGAAGAAGAAGAAGAAGAAGAAGAAGAAGAAGAAGAAGTAGTTTCACGAACATGGCGGCCGTTCCATATAAATGCATGGGCTATGGAACATAGATGGGATGGCCGCCATATTCAGCCGTCGCTTCCTCTCTTCTTTTTCCACATCTTTAGGCCAAACCACTAATGCACTTTACACTGTCTGTGTACTGTGCGTTTCAGAGACAATTTTGACGAGAATTAACAGACCGCTCTGCCGTGTCTGCTCCGGTCTGTTCGGGTGCGCGTTACATCTGCCTGACGACAACTGTCGTCCTGATGACTAGGCGTGCTGCTGTTATTACACTGCTGTGCTGCTGGTGTGTGCGAGACGCCCAATTTTTTTGCCCCCCCCCCCCTCTTTTCGCCTTTTTAAAGTTTGGAGTTGGAAAAGATGTTACCATTGATAGATAGTTGTTGGACTTATACATGTGCGTTGCACTTCACGCCGCTTTCATATCATTTGAGGAAGGTGCTTCGGTGTCAAGGTAAAAGTGACACAGATCAGCGTGCAAACGTGGACGCCTTTTGGTCCGTTTGTGTGTGTGTGTGAGTGTGTGTGTTTGTGTGTGCGTTTGTGTGTGAGTTTGTCTCTGTGTCGGTCCAGCTCAAACAGGAGGCAGATCCTCCCATCTCCTTTATGAAAGCGCCCCTTATTACTCCTTGCATTGTCCACCGCGCGACGCTCGCTTCATAGAACCGATGTTTGCCCGGATAATGGAAAGAAAGGAGCTGAGCTCTACGGGCGGCGCCTAGGCGGAGGTGTCGCTTTGTGTGTTGGTCGGTGCCGAATGCGGGTCCGAATCCACTGAGGCCTGGGCGAAATTCATCAAGAAAAACCAAGAAAATCCTTAAAATATATTTTACGTCTCAAAATGGATGTCATTCACTTTGGCAATGCTCATTTTCGGCCTAATTGACCAACTTACAAGTACTAGTAGTGTCTGTATTTCGGTGTAGACAGTTAATCGTTACTGGTACGTTTAGCTTCCGGACGTGTCGGATAAGGACTGCATATATACTCTTTGCGACTCTTTGTGCATATTGTCGACCGGAGGAAGTGGACGCGTCGGCGCATTTCGCCAATTCATACTGCGTGCAGCGCACTTATCCTGGCGCTATCTATATTGGCGCGACAGGCCCGAGGCAGGGCGGAGCGCGGCGCGGCGGGGGCGTCCTCCCTCCACGCCACTTTCTCGCGAGGCACTGTCGTGTGAATCGGACGACGACCGTCTGTGGTATCGCCTGACGCGTGCAGCCCCGCTCCCACCCCGCCCCCGCGTCCGATTGCGGTCACTTAGGCCCTTGCTTTGGACATTCCGATCGCCTCACAATGTGCGTCCTTGAACGCAACAACTGCGGTCCGGCCGGCGCGGCGCCCTTCGCCCGGGCGGTGTACAGGGCCTTTACTTTTGTCGCCGCGATGCCGTCAAACCGGTGTCGGTTGGCGGGAGTGCGGAGTGCAGCTGGGATCACTGTTCCCCTTTCCGCCTTTTTTTCCCGGAGTCTTCGGTACCATTGCGCAACCCATTCGGTACCTCTGGAGGACCTTGAAGGGCAGCCGGAGTGGACCCCGGCTCGCCCAGCTCCGCAAACCCGATAGTAAGGAACCAGCAGTGTGTCCTGGGCAAAGTGTAAGTATTACACACCGAAGCATAACACTTGTAACAGAGTGAATTAAAAATGAGTTTTGCGCCTAGTTTGTGATAAAGTAAAGTTTTTTGTTAAATTTGATTCAACTTTGATCACCTGCTAACACAAAAACAGCAGCTGCTGGAAAGGTATCTGCGGGTGTTTTTGCGAGCAAGCGGAATGGTTTGAGGGGAGGGGACGGGTTTGAATCACAAAGATGAACTGCTTTGACTCGCCTCCTCGCTTCGCCCTCTGCCGGCCCTCCCCGCCTCGCTGGCCCAAGGAGAGAAAAAAGGACGAAGAAGCGGCGAGCCGAAACCCTGCTGAG